AGTGGGGTTTTCATACAAGGAGAGGTTAAGATCTATGAAATTGTTTTCTTTTGAAAAAGAGTTAGTGGGGATCTGATTGTGGTTTTTGAAATTAAAGGAATTGATAATGTTGATGCCTAGTTAATGGTGAGAATTCCACAAACAAATGTAATATTCTTTGAACTAATGGTCATTTATAATCACTGTGTTCTGTGTTTAAATTGTTTCTTTTTCAGAAATATTTAAATAAAGAAAAGCTTCTGCCTAATAAGAAGTACTACATTAATAATAATTTACTCTTTAAAGACATACATCTCTGATAAATACAAATATAAAATCATCAAATTAATTTTTTTTTTGTGTTTTTAAAACTATGTTTGAAAAAAGATAAAATAAAAAGAGTGAATATATCAAGATAGATCAAAGATGAATTTATTAAGAATAAACTTTGAAGCAAGATTGTATGGATGTCTACTGAACAATGGCAATTAGGAAAAATGAGCATGTTTCTCCTACCATTCTTAAATTACTCAGATAAACATTTCATAAGTGACAAGTAAAATGTTAAAATGACTAGAATTTAATCTTTATATAGTTTGGGAGGGCAAGATGGTGGCTATAAGTTTTCATTATAACCTAAAATAATGGACATGAATCTTTGTCATGGTTATTAGACTTTATGATCAACTAAGTCTAATCATTAATTAGTAACTTTTTGTTTATATAAGTATAACTAGATACTAATTACTAACTAGTTTTATCCAACATTTTAGCTGCTAATCTTCTGCTATCTTCTGGAAAGACCTGAGAAGAACTATATTTGTATAATGTAGTTTCTAGGATTCAGTCCTGGGACTTTTTGTGGAATAGGAAAACCTGGATACCCATCTTGAAAATATTAAAATAGTTATACACTAGGGATTTGTTTGTTTGTTTGTAATTAAGCACAAAGTTACACAATGGGCTATCTGTGCTCTGCCCACCATGGGTATCAAAACCTGTATTCTAGCATTGTAAGTCTGCAGACATATCACTGAGCCACTGGGGGGCCTACACTAGGGAGACTTCAGTTGAATCCATCAAAAAGAACCAGAATCAAATCTTGAACACTATACTATCAACACTGAAATTACCCTTTACATGATTTCCTGCAGCAACAGATTATCAGATAAAATGGACGATACAACTAGTTAGTAATTAGTAACTAGTTGTATATGTAAAAATAATAATTACTAGGTGACTTACATGATTGTATAGTTAACAAACCATGACTATGATTAATATCTGATTGTCAAAACCATATGGTAAGCATTTAATGTACATAAACATTATATTCATCTTTCTAGGAATTATAACAAAAATATAATTTTAGCAAGCCTTTTTATCTCAATCATTATATAATACCAAAATTAACACAGCCTATGTAATTCATTTAGATATCTTATGATATGATGAAAATATATGACAAACCTTCCAAAGAATGTTTTCCAATTGTGGAACAGGAAATTTCGTGCCAAGTGGTGACCACTCGGTCGATTAGCAACTCTTGTTATAACCTTATATTTATCCTGAGGGTCAATTTTGGTAGAATCCAGAGAATATTCCAAGAACCTAAAAGTTTTAAGATGAATATGTAAAACTGTTTGTTTGTGTCAGACATAAATGAAAAATTACATAAGGTTATCTGTTCTAGCCATTCTGAATTGGAATTGATAGACTTGAGGGAATGCAAGTAGTCAACAGCACCATCAACTAAATCTTAGGCTAATCTAAGTGAATAGTGGGATTTGACCGTTACTCTTATAATGTATCCATGACTTTGAAGTTCAGAGCACAGTTTTTGATTAATGGGACACAAACCATGGATCCCCAGGGTTACATTCTAGCATGTTACCAGTAGGACATGCTGGCCCTCAATTGTTCAAGTATCATCAGTAAAACAACAAAGGTGTCTCATCATACACAAACACATATATAAGTACTTGTATGTCTATTAGAATAACAATAAGCAGTCACTTTATCTGTCAAAGGCATTTGTTATTTCCTATATTTTCTCTTGATACCGCTTCATGGTTTACAGATGCCACTCCACAGCTTTGTGAACACTCAAAATCAATATACACATGTACAGTGATCACGAAAGATAATTTTTTTTTTTAATTGTGTGAATGTACATATTTGCACATAATAAAAATTCTATGAATATCAGTAAATAACAGAACTAACTTAAAATGTCAATACAACCATATTCTGAAGTATATAATCTTATATTTTTGTTCTGCAGATTAAATATGTGTCAACAAAACTAACTTTTTTCTTACTGTTTAAGTTGCTCAGTATTTGGAGATTCACTAAGAACATCGACTAATAAAGACTTTTCTGAAGGAATGGTGGAATTCTGTAAATAATCCAACAGATACTGCCATTCTTCTGAGCCTCCTCCTATGATACCAGCAGTGTACACTGACTCTCGGAGGTTTGGAGCAATCCTGAAAAGCAAGACATAATTAATATACTTTATATTCATTATATAATAGATTACTAGATATGTACTGTGAATTTATTTTTATAAAAACATTACAGAAACAAAAAAGGTACAGGAATGTTCCCATAAATATTTTGGGTTCCATATGTTATTGTTATTATTCAGAAACCATAGCATATCACTGCACTTGCAGTGTTATTCATTGAAAATGTCCACCAATGATTAACTTGTATGTTCTTACATTAGACAAAACTTAGATAAATGCTATAGTGCAAAAGGAAATAAACCCTAATTTTACAAATTATCTTTTTGTTTAATTTACAACTGATTCTTATGTCCAGAAAAAGAAAGTTTTAAAACATTTGTCTAGAAATATTTTAAGGGGAAACCTAACACTCTTACTGATCAAAACTTTATCTGTGGTCTAAGAAGAAAATATCTACACTATTATTTTGCTTGTTTGTATGTATGACCATTACGCTTTCTGACTGAGAACCTGCTGCATAAGCATGCATAGTTAAAATGTTTCCCCAATAAAACTGCACATGCGCATTATTCACTTGACGACAAACAGTCTGCCTGCAGCAGAAAGCTGCAAAGCTCAGTGATGTGATCAAGTTGCTACAATTGCTGTATGAAACAAGAAGTAA